GAGCAGAATAATGCTTTTAACTCAAATTAAAAACTAAAATGACCAGTGCTGATTCATTCAGAAGCAAAGAAAGAGTATATGAACGAGTCAGTGAGTCACTCCAAAACCCAACTTGATTCAGTAACACAACGCCGCTGTGTGTGTTAATCGCTGGAGAGATGCACAACAAGGCAACATAGCAAAAAAAGACAATATTCTACAATTTAATTTACTTATTAACTTCTTATTGAAAAGTCTGCCACAAGCCATGCTAACCAAACCGGTCTCTTCTAACCGCTCTGAATGTGTGTGTCCCCTATATAATATTATGATTATGATTATGAATAATCTAGATTTGCTGTTTCACAGTGACAGAAACAAATAACCTAATTCGACAGATCGGCATTATAGTGATTAGATGTTCTTCCCTCGCATCCCTGGCTGAGGTCGGTTTACTTATCTATTTATGTATTATTATTTTATTTATTTTAATGTAGAAAATGAGAATTGTTCAAATGACCAAATATATATTCACAGACAAATGGCTTGGCAGTATTTGGGGTAAAAGGCACAATAAATGACATGATAATAACTAAGTTAACTGTCTTACTTTATCCATTTGACATGACATGCTTCGCGTCCTTTAACATATATTAAGCTTTCATATTTATAATTTATTATTCAAAATGTATTACAACGGACAGAACAGATTGTAAAACCTTGCTGAAGTGGTTGTTTTGAACTGAGACATTACGTTACACTAAACCTCCTACTTTATCTGAAGCACTTGCAGCAATAGCAGCGACACTTCTCGAAGTCTGGACTGAAATACGGAGTCTGTACAGAGACGCGGCGCTGGTGACGCCTGACACGCCGCAGCGATGGTTACCTGGCGTCTGCGTCGCCGAGCGCGTCGAGCAGCGACGCCTCTAACCCCGCGCTGCTGCTCATCATCCGCACAGAGGCGTTCAGGCTCCCTAAAAGCCTTTCTGCCTACGCTTTGCTCGAGCTCATCCTGAACAACAGTGTTTCTCCTGGCACTCTGTTGTCATCCAGAATAGAATTTCCCTCCACTCGCCGTGTTCCGCTGCGGCCCCGCGCTGCAGCGCCGCCTGCTGTCCCGGAGGAGCGGCGCACACCAACTGCGCATGCGTGCGTTAGAAGCAGAGTGCTGCACGAGAGGCACGTGGCTCTGATGAAATCCCGCTGTTCGGGTCACGCTCATTAAAAAAGAAAAACTAAAGAAAAAAGTAATTTGCTTAAACTGTTATACTCTGGGATGTTCTGCACAGTTAAAACAGGTCCACGGACATCCCCCCAGTGTCCCTCTCTCTCTTTGACGCCTCCTTCACTTACAATATATCAAATATATAGCATGCATTTTTTAGTAAGTTCATATTCATTAACACAGAAGGGTCGGCCGGGAATTGTTGTAGTTTTTGCTTAGTAAACTAAAGTACGGTATTTAGTTGTTCAATGTATTTCTAATCCTGACTTTTTCTTTAATTTCTCTTCATGTTAGGGGCATCCGCAGTTTCAATAAAAGAAAGGCTATCTGTTTGTTTCTGAGATAACGGCTGGTTTTTCTTTATTACAGGAATCAGTGGATCAGCTATTCTCAGAGGGACAGCAATAATAACAACACTCATACTGGAGGACTCGCATATTCACATATTCATGGTACTAACTGCAAATCTACACGTTTTTACTTCATGAATTAGAAACACGAACCGCAGACCTATCAACTAAATACATGAATGCTAAATTTACACTTGGGGGGGATTTTAATGACGTCCCAGATAATAACTTGCATAGATGGCCTCCCAAAGGAGTAACAGATGATGCTAGTAATTATTTCTGGACTATGCAATAGTTTCGGACTTGCTGATGTCTGGTGAGAAGTTAACCCTCCAAACTGTTCTATACGCGGCAGAACAGTGATTAGTCTTTGCGGTCTGGTCTAGATCTGCGGTTAACATCAGAGGAGTTGACTCCTGGTAGACCGTTTTTACAGACCACACATCTCTTCACATTTCTATTACCACCAATGAACATGAGTAGAAGTGCACTGGATCGTAAACCATTCTTTATTATTAAATGAGGAATTTAAGTGTGATGGCATAAGGATAGTTGAAATACTAAAGCATGGATTAATTACTAACCAACATGGACTGCACTGGGAACCTATGAAATATAGAGCTAGGAGTTTAGCCAAAAATAAAGTAGTTGTAAAACAATCGCCAGAAATAAACGGGCCAAAATACTAGCCATCATCCAAGAGTCTGATGAAACAGATGTAACAGAAGAAGAAGCTCACAAGAGGGTTTAAATCAGCGAAGGTGCTTTCATACGCTGCAGAAGAAAGTGGCTCGAGCTTGGTGAAAAACACAAGAAAGATTATCAATTAACAAACTACGCATAAATAACAATCTCACAGATAATTTACCTACAATCTCAAAACATATATCCTGAATTTGATTAAACGTTAAAAGCTCTGAAATACAGAAAACGTAGAAAACTTGGATAATAGTACCTTTGTTAACGATGAATTACAGAAATGATTGGCAATATTAAGAACTCCTGGTACTGAAGGTCTTACGAGTGAACGTCTAAAGCTGTCCTCTTTAGTTTGAGCGGTTTACTGCATCTGTAAAGAAGCGGGTGATTACTCCAGTCCCCAAGCCGAGTGAGGACACATTATCTCTAGATAGCTTTATTAAACACGGATGCCAGATTGTTCTCTCTTATATTTGCCAGCAGGCTAAAAGTAGTGCTGGATCAGTCTCAGGCTGGTTTCATGAAAGGGAGACATACTGTATATGTAATCATATTGGTCTTATGCTTGATTTGACTGATTACAGCACCTTCTCAGGGACCTAATACTATTTATTGGTTTGAATAAAGCGTTCGATACAGTGGAACACAAATTGATGCTGGCAACGTGAGTATATTTCTTCAGAAAAGCGATGACAGCTCTGTTAACATGATGCAGGGCACTTCTAGAGGATTTCTTCTGTCTAGGGGCTTACACAAGGCTTCCCCACCTCTCCTTTTCTGTTTTTGCTCGTAAATATGAATGTTTTTCAAGGTATCAGCTCTTCTGGGGATGAATTAAACACTTGTCAGCTGGCTGAGGACACAGATGCTGCAGAGGTCAGGGCTCTGAAGCTTTAAATGAAACAGTGAGTGTTTCGTGTGCAGTAACCCCCGCATGCGCATGCTTTGATCGAGCGCTGCAGAGAGAATAGATTAAACCGGCCGCTTCTGCTCGAGCTGCTGTAGTAACGCTGAGCGCTAGATGGCAGCACTCTCCTCGCGCGCCTCGGCTCCACACGGAAACCGCGCGAGGAAGAGCGCCAGCGTCCCAGAATGCACTGCGGCCCGTCAGAATTGCCAGTCATCTTCGGCGTGAATTCAAGCGCTCCAGCCACTTCTTATTTACACGCGTGATTGTGGCGTTACGCGATCGGCATCTTGAGCGGCGACATGAAAGAAGCGACGGCAAAGCGACGCGAGAAACCCCGCGCGGAGAAAGAGAAGAGCGGCGCGGACTCGCAGGATGTGGAGATGAAGGAGGAGGAACCGCGCGCGCCGCGAGAGCAGGACCAGCTGACGCTCGACGGTCTGGACACACACACACACACACACACACACACACATATATATATCATTATTATCATCATCATTATCATATATATCAGTCACGACACGAGCAGACGCAGCGCTGGTGTTTACCGGTCAAACCACTCTGACATCTGCTGACAATAACGACCTCCTCTCTGTAATCTGCCCGTTTATTACCCGATCATTGCTTTCTGATGCGTACAGAGCCAGAAGGAGAACTGACCAGATTCAGAATTGGTAAAAATAATCCTGGCAGTGGACGGCAGGTCAGAAATGCTTAAAGGGGTCACCAGATGCCCGTTTTCCACAAGTTGATATGATTCTTTAGGGTTATAACAATTAAAATAGTTTGTAATTATATAAAAATCATTAAAAGTAGCTATGCTTCAACACACTGATGATTTTTATCTTAACATTTATTTTTCAGATGGCACTGAATATTGCATTATATATCCATGTGCCCTCATATGAACTAAGCATGTGATGAAACTTGATGAGACTTTATTTATTATTTTAAACAGCATGTAAGTGAATCAAAGAAAACTCTGACAGATGATTTAAAATGCTCTCTATTATTTAGAGAGGAAGAACATGTACTGGCTGGTCCTACAGCTTTAGCTCTAGATCAGTGGTTTTGCCAGTCAAAACAGTGAGCCCTTCTAACACAACTGCACAGTCTTCACTGTACGGATTAAAGATGATTCTAATTACAGCTACAGATTGATTTAGTCAAGAGCAGCAGCTTATTTTCTCTGTTTTATTAACATTAATGACAGATGGCAGCAGGTATATTAGGCTGCTGTCACTTTAAGACCTAATGCACAGGTCTCATATACTGATATTATATAGACCTTTTCCCTGAGTAAACGATGAGTGCCAACATTATGAATTCATTACAAACTTCCGAATGAATGCTCTTCTGTTCCGGTCTCCATAGGAACCCATTCAAATAGTGCCCATCTGTTATTAATGTAGCTAACGCCGGCAGCTTCGTGTCATCTACACACTCATTAAACTCTGAGGAGTGACTGTCTAGGGGCTTACACAAGGCTTCCCCACCTCTCCTTTTCTGTTTTTGCTCGTAAATATGAATGTTTTTCAAGGTATCAGCTCTTCTGGGGATGAATTAAACACTTGTCAGCTGGCTGAGGACACAGATGCTGCAGAGGTCAGGGCTCTGAAGCTTTAAATGAAACAGTGAGTGTTTCGTGTGCAGTAACCCCCGCATGCGCATGCTTTGATCGAGCGCTGCAGAGAGAATAGATTAAACCGGCCGCTTCTGCTCGAGCTGCTGTAGTAACGCTGAGCGCTAGATGGCAGCACTCTCCTCGCGCGCCTCGGCTCCACACGGAAACCGCGCGAGGAAGAGCGCCAGCGTCCCAGAATGCACCGCGGCCCGTCAGAATTGCCAGTCATCTTCGGCGTGAATTCAAGCGCTCCAGCCACTTCTTATTTACACGCGTGATTGTGGCGTTACGCGATCGAGCTCTTGAGCGGCGACATGAAAGAAGCGACGGCAAAGCGACGCGAGAAACCCCGCGCGGAGAAAGAGAAGAGCGGCGCGGACTCGCAGGATGTGGAGATGAAGGAGGAGGAACCGCGCGCGCCGCGAGAGCAGGACCAGCTGAAGCTCGACGGTCTGGACACACACACACACACACACACACACACACATATATATATCATTATTATCATCATCATTATCATATATATCAGTCACGACACGAGCAGACGCAGCGCTGGTGTTTACCGGTCAAACCACTCTGACATCTGCTGACAATAACGACCTCCTCTCGGTAATCTGCCCGTTTATTACCCGATCATTGCTTTCTGATGCGTACAGAGCCAGAAGGAGAACTGACCAGATTCAGAATTGGTAAAAATAATCCTGGCAGTGGACGGCAGGTCAGAAATGCTTAAAGGGGTCACCAGATGCCCGTTTTCCACAAGTTGATATGATTCTTTAGGGTCTTAATGAAAAGGCTATAACATATTTTGGTTAAAGTTTCTCAAAAGTAGTGTAAAACAACACCTTTTTTACCCTGTCAAAAACAGCTCTGTTCACAGCGAGCCGTTTCGGTGCATGTCCCTTTAAATGCTAATGAGCTCTGCTGACCCCGCCCCTCTCTTCCGTGGAGTGACGAGCTGTTCTCATGAGTAGGCCTGTCACCATAACATCTGTTTGTTGTGCGATATATTGCCTCAGAAATAATTGCGATAAGCGATATTATTGTCATTTTAAAGACCATTTTATGCCACTGAATATATAATCATAATGTAACAGCATAATAATGCAAGAAGGCCTACACACTTCCAAATGGCAACAAACTTTTAATTAAGAATATTTAGATCATGGAAATTAAGTATCAAAATATAAAATACCTTAAAAAACCTGAATAAATAGTAAATAAACATTTTCTAACAAAATAATTATAACAATTAAAATAGTTTGTAATTATATAAAAATCATTAAAAGTAGCTATGCTTCAACACACTGATGATTTTTATCTTAACATTTATTTTTCAGATGGCACTGAATATTGCATTATATATCCATGTGCCCTCATATGAACTAAGCATGTGATGAAACTTGATGAGACTTTATTTATTATTTTAAACAGCATGTAAGTGAATCAAAGAAAACTCTGACAGATGATTTAAAATGCTCTCTATTATTTAGAGAGGAAGAACATGTACTGGCTGGTCCTACAGCTTTAGCTCTAGATCAGTGGTTTTGCCAGTCAAAACAGTGAGCCCTTCTAACACAACTGCACAGTCTTCACTGTACGGATTAAAGATGATTCTAATTACAGCTACAGATTGATTTAGTCAAGAGCAGCAGCTTATTTTCTCTGTTTTATTAACATTAATGACAGATGGCAGCAGGTATATTAGGCTGCTGTCACTTTAAGACCTAATGCACAGGTCTCATATACTGATATTATATAGACCTTTTCCCTGAGTAAACGATGAGTGCCAACATTATGAATTCATTACAAACTTCCGAATGAATGCTCTTCTGTTCCGGTCTCCATAGGAACCCATTCAAATAGTGCCCATCTGTTATTAATGTAGCTAACGCCGGCAGCTTCGTGTCATCTACACACTCATTAAACTCTTGAGGAGTGACGCACTGACAAATAACGGTCATTGCGACTCTGTAAAGTGACGGCTCTGTGGAGCCATGTGGTTTTTTTTTTTTACATTTTAATAGGTTTAACATTAGATTATCAGCTCATTACTTTAGACGTAACCGACTGTTTTCCTTGAATGCTCAGTCACTAAGTCAGCCATTGTTATTATTGTAAGTCTCAGTGTTAAAAATGATGATAAAGAACAGCACAAACGGAGTGTTAACTGGAAAGGAGTGAAACACACAGTCACTCCTGTTATGTCTTTTTCCTCTGAATGTGAGAGGTTCGCTGTCCAGTCGAGCACTAACGGCTTCCTGATGTACTCCGAGGCGTGTGGAGAGCTCTGTGGGTGACTCTGAATGTGTCTGTCTGCTGCAGATATCAAGGAGCACGTGAAGCAGATCGAGAAGGCCGTGCAGGGGAAGGAGCCGCGCTTCGTCCTCCGTGCCCTGCGAGCTTTGCCCTCCACCAGCCGCCGTCTCAATCCCAATGTGCTGCAGAAAGCCGTGTCCGGGTTCTTCACGTGCAACGCTGCCAGCAAAGAGTTCCTGCTCCGCTTCCTGGACGAGGTACCAGACCCCACAGCTTTCTGTTCCTCGGCGTACATGTTTGCAGTTTGGAAATCAGAAGTTGGGCTGTACACACAAATCAAATAGAGTGCTATGGACTGTGAATATTAAAGCACACATAGACTGATATGCAGGGCTCCAGACTGTGACTAAATGCTACCTTTTTTCCTGCCGGTGCGACTGAGTTTTGTTAGAGGTGCTGCCACTACCAATTTGACTAACTGAGAAACACTGCCATTTCTGTTGCGTAATAGAAACCGCAAATAAGCCCAAAAAAGCGCAGCGTGATCTTAGAGCAAATGCAACCGTTGTTAAACAGCGCGGTGAGAAGTAGGGATGTAATGATATTATCAATATCGTGATATCAAAACTGTCTCGATGTTATCGTGGCCACATGACGATATGAAACGATAGGTCTTTCAGGCAAAAAGTGTAGTTTTTTTAATATATTTAAACTTCTAACGTAAAAGGTGTTTAAAGTTGTGTTTTGGGGCATTATGAAGAAGTATTGTAATTTCCCTACTGCAGTGTAAAGCAAAAATAATACACCTATGAAATATTCATTTTCATTTATTTCACAGTGCACTTGTTGTACAATATATGGCTATTACTGTCATTGTTGTTATTATTATTAATAATAAATTCTAATTAGTTTGGCTTCCTAAAACACCAGTGTGAATGTAATTTAGACTGAGACAGTATACCACAAATAAAAATATTTTCTTACCTAACTTTTCTTAGTTAAGAACATGGGTTGCAGCTCTTAATTTTGAACTCTCAAAGTGCATTAGATAGAATAATTAAACTTTAAAATGTACGAAATTAAATTTTTTCCCCCCAATTCTTTATTTATTTTTTTTTTTTAAACATCGCAATATTATCATATCGTGAGATTTTGATATGGTTACATCCCTAGTGAGAAGCGCTGGAGTTCGGCGCAGTGAGGAGCCGTGTGTGGTTTTACCTGTGCTTATGATCTACAAATATATGATGCCATGGAAGACCAGTGGTTAATTTTAATAGGAGCAGTCCTAACTCAGTTAGTCAGTCAGAATATTTACCCTATAAAACTCGGTTTGTTACCATCGTTTCCAGAAATGTTACCGTTTCTGTTAATGGAAATACATTTGCATCCGTATCCCAGCTCAAGCTGCTGCTACTGTTAAATGTGCATTTCCAAAAGACAAAACTTGTAATATTATTAATTAATATCATCAATAGTCGTTAATTATTTCAGTGCTGCTGAATCAGGTGCTGGTGCTGCTATCTGTAGAGGCTTCAGAGGTTAGTCTGGAGCGCGAGCCGTCTTCAGAACACTTAATGTTGAGCCCTGAGCTTTATTGCAGGTCAAGCGTTTCCTCTACATGCAGCAGCCCTAAACTGAAAGGCCAGTGGCTGAGTGCGTGACTGTAACCGGTGTCTCTCTGCTTCAGCCGGTGGAGAAGGAAGGAGACGTGGCGTTCAGGCCTCGCACGGGGAAAGCTGCGGCGACGCCGCTCATCCCAGAGGTGGAGGCCTATCTGCAGCTGCTGATGGTGGTCTACCTCACCAACAAGACACGCTACGCCGAGGTCAGCAAACTCAGACTAACACTCATCCGCTGAAATGTGAAAGACAATGCAGAGGTCTTTATTAGTTATTCTTAACCATGCATGTGTACATAAAAGGAATGGAAAAATTAATCAAATAAAATCGAACTCATTTCACTGTAGTCCAGCACATGAAGGCACAGTTGGGTCACGGTTTCTTATACAGATAATAACAGTTACATTTGGTGTGTGTGTTTTAATCTGATTAATCGGAGAAACACTCGACAGATGAGATGATTATCCAGACAATGCTTTTCCTCAGTGAATCCTCTGTCCTGCACAGGCCCAGAAAGTGTCTGATGATCTGCTCCAGAAGATCGGCTCTCAGAACCGCCGGGCTCTGGACTTAGTGGCTGCCAAGTGTTATTACTACCATTCGCGCGTGTACGAGTTCCTGAACCAGCTGGATGCGGTCCGCAGGTGAGCCTGTTCTCCACATGACCTTTGACCTTAGGTTCAGCTGAGCTGCTGTGGTCACTCTTCTCTCTCGTGAGCACAGCTTCCTGCACACGCGCTTGAGGACGGCTACGCTACGCCATGACGCTGACGGCCAGGCCACGCTGCTCAACCTGCTGCTGCGCAACTACCTGCAGTTCAATCTGTATGACCAGGCGGAGAAACTGGTGTCCAAGTCTGTGTTCCCCGAGCTGGCCAACAACAACGAGTGGGCGCGCTATCTCTACTACACCGGTGAGTGAAGGTTTCTCCTCCGTTACGCAGAGAACGGGATGAGAGGAGCCAGAGTTGATTTCACGACACCGTTACAGCACAGCGCTGCGAGATCCAGTGAGAAGCGTTTGAACTCACTGCAGAATGAATGAAGGTTGCTGCGAGATCTAGTGAGAATCATTCAAATTCGGCCTAGAATTTTGTGTCATAAACAGCGCTGACATACGTCAGGAAACCAGAAGCGGTAACGCTAACTGTAACCGTAGTGTTGTGGCAGGAAGAGTCGAATGTGATCAATTCATTTCAGGGTTTGTGAGGGAAATTCAAGCACTTTTCAATGACTTTCAAGCATTTCACACAACTATTTCCAGCTCTTTAAAGCTCTAAAATGATGAATGTTGGTTTTTATAGGATGACCAAAATATACTTTGTGCTAAACAAACAGTTATGTAAAATCAAAAAAATACATCAAATCACCATTATAACCAGTAGATGGCAGCAGAGGAGCACTTATTGGCTTATTAGTCATTCATTTCTACGTTTTGCTTTATATTTTGAAATTATAAAATCACTATTATAAAATATCAAATCATCAAGAAATCAGATTTTGTAAGTTGTACACTTTGTGTGTGTGTGTGTGTGTGTGGAGTAAGAAAAACAAACCTTTCTTCAATTTGTGACTAAATCACATAATCGCTGAAGTTGTTAGTCAGTTTCATATAGAATAATAATAGTACATTTAATAAGAATAGAATATATAAATTTATCTATATCAAATATTATGTTATTAGATTTTGCATGTTACTGTTGTTAATAAAATAATTTAGTATGCTTCCCAACTCAAGCTTAGAGCTTTACTGTCAAATCTGTATAAACGAGAAATGAACATGTAATATTATTATTAACTGCACTTATTTATTCAAAACGGAAGTAATTTTATGATTAAATGATCTTTGTTTTACTAACCCCACACAGCACCCCAGCAGAATCAGTGGCGCTGGTGCCTCTGCTCTCAGATGTTCAGACCCATTCACACCAAGCACCATAACTATAAAGATACAGTTCTAATTATCCTTGTCAATATTACAGAGTAGTAGAGTCCACACCACAGCTATAACGATAAAGGCACAGAGAAACGATATCGTTGGAATCACTTTCAGAAAGATTGTTCTCCAGCTGATGAACGATAGAAACATTGACAGCTAATCAGAATCAATCCTGCTGTAACGAGCTGGAGAATTTAAAGCTGCAGACGCGCGTGCGCTTAGAATAAACAGACGATATCGTTCTTGGTGTGAACGGGGCTTTAGTCTGGAGCCCTGGCTTTGTTTTCTACTGAGGCTTTAGCACTTCATCAAAAGTAATCGTAGAGGAGTATTCTGAATTCAGGTTTAGCTCAATCAACAACACAATCCCTCCTTATCTTTTACAATTACTATAGTTATGATTATGTATTAGTAGTATTATATCATAGGGTTACAGTGAGGCCATTATTAACCTGTGCTGCGGGATCCAGCAAGAAAGTGCTTGAATTCGGCAGGAATGTCAAATATATAGGAATAATAAATGTTGTCATATTATTAATTTCGTCATGTGTATTGTATTACTCCGTGTCCTGACTGCACAGTTCTGTTTCTGTGACGTCGCTCGCCTCCTGAATGTGTTTTTGTTTAATATTAAAGTGTTTTCATCTGATTGAGTTTTCACATCACGTGGTCTGGACAGGCAAATGGCAGGAGTGATGTAATATCATTAGTAACTTTTGTCATGAAGCTATGGCTTTTGTGCATGTGTTTAGACTACATGTGCTAATGCTACAGTTTTGTGAATAATAATACATTTAACACTAACAATCTGTATCCCAACTCATACAATATGTAATTTTGTGTGTGCCCTGCACATTTTCAGGGCGGATCAAGGCCATCCAGCTGGAGTATTCAGAGGCGAGGAGGACTCTAACGAACGCGCTGCGTAAAGCGCCGCAGCACACGGCCGTGGGCTTCAAGCAGACGGTGAGTGTGTCTGTGTGTGTGTGTGTGTGTGCGACTGGCTCCTGTCGCTGCTGCTGTGAGTGACGGCTGTGTCTCCGTCAGGTGCATAAGCTGCTGATCGTGGTGGAGCTGCTGCTGGGGGAGATTCCTGACCGCCTGCAGTTCCGCCAGCCGTCTCTCAAGAGGTCCCTCATGCCCTACTTCCTGCTCACTCAGGGTAACTCCATGTGCCACTCTCCATGCAAGAAAACTATTTTACGTTTCTCCTGAACCTCCTGTTAACCTTGCTGCTTCTGAACTCAGTGTAGTGTGTTAATGCGGCTCATGAGAGGAGTGAAACGTCACACTCTTAACTCCTTCTCACGAACGGTGTTTCACAGTAACTGCTGTTTCTGCCCTGTCTAGCGGTGAGAGCTGGAAATCTGGCCAAGTTTAACCAGGCGCTGGATCAGTTTGGAGAGAAGTTTCAGGCTGACGGCACCTACACGCTGATCATCCGTCTGAGACACAACGTCATCAAGACCGGTGAGTGCTGCTCGTCTGAGACACACCGTCATCCCTCTAGAATGGCATTTTACTGACAGCCAGCACATTGAGTCTTCCTGCAGTAGTACAGACTGCGTTGTTTTTCCCCCATTGATGTGAATGCTGGAGGCCGGAAACAAACTCAAGCCAAGTACTTTCCCATTCTGCTGCATTCTGAAGTTTGGCTTTCGTAGTTTTGGAAAGTTTGGTATAAGACGTGCGGCCAGCAGAAGATCACGGTGTGAACGCCTAGCTGAATTAAAACAACACAAACTTGAAACTTTGGATAAATTATGATTAGTCATATGTTGAATTTGTTAACCTTTTTTAAAAAAAAAAAAACATGCTGAGGAGTATAATGTCTTATCATGGGCGAAAACGCTTGCATGTTTGGACAGTCCTGAAGACGCAGAGTTCATCGTGGCCAAGGTCAGGCTCACTCACTCACTCACTCACTCACTCGTGCGGTCGTGTTCATCAGGGACTGAGCTGAAGCATGTGACCGTCTCTGTCTGTCCAGGCCATCCGTGACGGTGTGATTGAGGCCAGTATAAACCACGAGAAAGGTTACGTCCAGTCGAAAGAGACCATGGACATTTACAGCACTCGCGAGCCTCAGCTGGCCTTCCACCAGCGCATCTCCTTCTGTCTGGATATCCACAACATGTCCGTCAAGGTAGGATTTCTGGGATTCAACAAACATGTGCTTTGTTACCTGAGCCTGGACTACTTCAAGTAGTAAAGCATGCAGAAGATTGACATGGCAATGAATTACACCATAAATGCATCTAATTAAAGTCTGCTGTGTTTCACAGTCAGCACGTATGGGTTTAAAGCAAGGAAAAGAGTACTTTTAGATGAGGCATAGGGAGCGATGTAAGCGCTGTTCACCTGTTTCTGTGCAGGCCATGAGATTTCCACCAAAGGCGTACAACAAGGACCTGGAGTCTGCTGAGGTAAGAGTGACACACACACACACACACACACGCTGTCTGCCGCTGCAGAGCGTCTGCTGGAGCTCATCACTGTCTGTGTGTGTTCACAGGAGAGACGAGAGCGGGAGCAGCAGGATCTGGAGTTCGCCAAAGAGATGGCAGAAGATGATGACGATAGTTTCCCATGAGTCTGCAGTCTCGCAGCCTTTCTTCTTTGAATTTGACCTGTCTGTTCCTCCTTTAGCTTTGCTCTTATTATAATCCATGAACGTACTGTGTGATACAACATTATAAAGAACATCAGAAGTTCTCCAGTTGTGTTGTTTTTTCATTAATGCATGCATCAGTTTTATACATTCATAGCAACGGTGCGGTTTGCTGCATATACAACACAATAGCGTCTTGTTAGAAAGTTCTGAATTGAATTGAAAAGCGTTGTCTTGCTTTACCAAATGGTCAAAATTCATAATGCAACGTGATAATAGTTTGGAATTGAGTGGCTGGATATAAAGTGTCAGGTTGTTAACAGACAGTACAGTGTGGAATGCTTGTCTGTGTTACTCATTTACATTGAATCCTGTTTTCTTCTATTAAAATGCAAGGCCTTGTGGGTGATGGAAGCGTGGAACAGATGCATGTTAAGAACTGCATGGGTTCTTCCTGTCTGGAAATGCATCTGCTCCACTCGTTCTGAACAGCAGGCATTCTTCAGTTAGATTTCCTGAGATGGAAGATGAATCTATTGGTTGGGGTTTTGTGAGGTGTTTTCAGGATCTTAAAGGAGCAGTTTGTAATACTGACAGCTAGTGGCAGAAATGTGTACTGCGTGCGCTACAGAGCCCGGCTCTGCTGCGGTCCAAACTCGAAAAAGTAGCTAAATAAACCAGCAGACAATGCATTTACAGAACAGAATATTATTTAAACAACATAAATTATGCACAGCAGCAAGTACATCTAAAACAACAAATCTTCATCTATAACGAGCTAATTGAGGCACACGGGCTGCTTCACTGCGTTATGTGACAAAGCGGTGTTCTTTATAAAAGAAGTGTTGATTTTAAATAAAGACATGGAACTCTTTCCTGTTAGAACTTGTGTGAAACTTTTACTTTCGCTTTGCAGCATACGCCGGGGCTAGAAAGTGGCTCTGGATTTTTGGCACAGAGCGGCCCATGCATCACACCATAACCAAACCAGCTTATTAGAGCAGTTTTAACACCACTTACTAACATAAAGATATAACACCATACAGAAATAAAAATGCTTTTATTATTATCATTAACATTAATGAATGACTGGCATACTTTACATTGTAATTGGTCTTTCCTGGTGTATATGACAAATTGTAAATCATTTTGAAGAATTTTGACATGTCCCTTTTAGAGGGACGGTTTATTAATATCACTAAAGTTAAATGCCTATAATATCAGTCCATATGACACAATGCCCTGCTCTAGAGAATGTAGTGCAGAATGTGGACTGTTTTTGTGGTGCTTGTCATCTGTCATTTAGAACAGAGTTCCAGCTGTGGAAACATTTATTCATACATACACGAAACATTTCTGATTATTATCAATGTTCAACACTGTTGTGCTGCACGATATTTTTGTGGAAAATGTGATACATTACCATTTAGTCTGGAGTAAGATTTAAAAACAATAAATGAATCAATACTTTTATTCAACAAGGTTGCATTAAATTGATTTAAATGACAGTAAAGATATACTTATTACAAATTATATTTAGGATAAATGTTGTTCTTTAACTTTGTATTCAACAAATACTCCTGAAAAAGTATCACAGTTTCCACAAAAATATTAAGAAGCAAAAACAGTTTTCAGCATTAATAACAAGAACCATTATTAATAAGTGATAACAAATATTAATCGATAATAATAAATCAGCATATTAGAATGATTTCTGAAGATCATGTGACACTGAAGACTGCAGTAATGATGCTGAAAATACAGCTGCGCATCACAGAAATACATTACATTTAAATATTATGCCATTAAAACATTTAGGCCTACATTAAGATATCTTTCATAGAAAAATATCACGGCACTTGAAAGCGAAAGTCTTCAGATTTACAATGTTCTAGAGTAAGTCTGAGAATTTTACCATTTACTCGTCATTGCTGTGGATTTTCTAATAATGCTCATTGCACAATTAATTGCAGTGATGTGCAGTTCGTGAACGAATAATTTGAGGTGTTTAATTCAGCTTTATTTAGGGGACACACGTCTGACATATCTCTACATAACATGGACTTGTTGAACTTCACCAAACTGGACTGAACTGCTCGAAACACTTTGGGTTCTGAATGATTTTCCACAATGACACGAGCCAATGCTAAATCAATACACGGTTTATCTCAGCTTTATGCGTTATTCTGTTCTAAACTGTATTTTCTGTTTGAAACCAGACGAGTCCTCTGCTCAATCTGACATTGCTGCAGCCTGGACTTAAACCACACCATGCTGGTTCGGTCTGGCCCCCGACTCAGCCTGGTTTCTCCCAAGGTTTTTTCTCCATTCTGTCCCCGATGGAGCCACTGTTGCCTCTGGCGTGTTTAGTTGGTGACGCATGACTGATTGCACAGACACTATTGAAGAGAGCTGAATGATGACGAATCACTGAATCATCAATCAACTGCCTTTAGCTGGAAAATGACTCTGTTATTGTCTTCTTGCATTATTGACAAACTACTTTCCCGTTTGACTCTGTGAAGCGCTATATAAATAAAGGTGAAACAAGAAAACATCTAGCCAGTCATGTGCTCTACAATAATGAGAATAAAACCTCTGAATGTAAGAAAATCAGTCTGTATGTCACTGATTCTTGAGTCCTGGGACAACACATGTCCAGCCATTTTAACTGCTATTAGGTTTAATAATGAAAATATGTTCACCCGTAAATGTTATGAGGGATTAATAATAGAATGTATTTAACACAGTTATCCTCCTCAATTTAACTTGATCATTATTATATCAAATCTATGACACTTATTGTCTTCTCACTACATCTACAACAGTGTGTCCACAGAGAAGGGTTCAATCATTCATATGCTATGAAATGGATAAAAATGTTTTTTAATGATGAAAAAGAGCTTGTTTGATCAAAAGCAACACTTAATAGTATCTCATATCAAAGCAAGGTTGTGTTTCATAAGGTTTCAAAGTTGTGTCCTCACTTTCTGTCACCACCTTTTCTGTCTGTTGATGTCTGACGGTGGTCATCATACTTTTGTGGTTTTCAAGTTATTTTATATCATTTTATATTAAATATAAAACAGTGTTCAATTTTTCTAATAATGTGTACATACTAAATACACAGCATATCTGGTTTTTGTGGGCTGACAGTCATCACTTCTAGCAGAGTCAGGGTTGAGGGAACACAGAACACTGGATAAAACACATCTACACATAATACAGTTTGATTGAATCTCGAATAAAAGCTTTATAAACAATACCATACTCACTGTTTGTTGTGTTTGTTTTAATACAGTGATTGATTGATTCGGTGTGTTTGATAGTTAAAATCACTACAAATTCAGGTTTTCCTCACCACCGTCTGATGAATATTTAGATCATATTTGATTATGATATTTTATATTTGTTGAGGAATTGTTGGTCACATGTGAAAGTGTAAGTGTGTGTTTTGAAACGATAAAAACATCTTGATTGCTGTTAAAGATTATATTACACAGTCCAAGGTAAGAAGCACATTTTGATAAAAAAGAGAAAAGTTGGAGGTTGAATCCAAGCCTAGCTCAGTAGCGTCGTACACATAAGACACATGAATACAAGCTTTGCACCCTGCTCAAGACAGGTGTTTAACTCCGCTTTATTTAGGGGACACACGTCTCACATGTCTCTACATAGCATGGACTCAAAGGCCATAATTACTGTTAAGATTGCCATGTTAAAATAAATGGGACACCTCTCTTCCTTTAAATTAGATTTCATTTTGTTCAAGTTCATAGTAATTATCAGCCACAACTACTAACCTTTTTTATTATTATTAATGTATGGTCTTTTACGAGGGACATGCTATATTTTCTTCATAGAGCTCTGTTTTGCAGCAGAAACATTATCAGTTACAGCAGACCTCATCCATAGCCATAATCAATAATCATTTAATTACAGCTCTTCAGTATTCAGAATATTGCACATTGTTGCCCAGAATGTGTTTGAGCACATGAACGCAGGTTTAGCTTTAGCTTTAAATTCTCTTTTTCCAGTGGTACAGCATGTTCAGATTGTTGAACACAAACTTAAAAACCATTGTGATTCATTGAGGTGAATAAAAACAGCCGTTAAATTAGCGGTTGAAATTTGAGGATCAGAAATGTAATAATCAGTGCGTCTCCTCGGCAGGTGTGCCAGCTCTTCCAGCAGTTCTCAAACCCTTTTCAATCAAGATCTGCAATTCACTTTAAAGCACAGTAATCTGAAATCTGAGATCATTTACTAGAAAATCCGTTTCAGTGATGAATCCAGGGTTATGCATTATTCAGAGCAGAACTGAGGATGCTACATTTGCATTTGTTAATATTGTTTTGCCATTTGTTAGGAGAAATATGCCTGATCATTTCAAGGGAAGTATATTCTACAAATATGGAAATAAACAGGTGGCCTAATGGTGATTAATAATGCAATTAGTCATGTCATTAAAAGTGTGCAAACAGAGCGCCTGTGTTGTGTAACTGCTGAATTCAGATCATCGAGACATCACACCGAGGAAACGGCCTTCGAGTATTTCTGAAGGAAGCGAGTGTGTTTCTCTCATGCTCAACACACTGCTGTGATCCCGACTCAGAATACAGGTCGTGTAGGTGTGTCTGACAGTGACGCAGAGGTTATTGTAGCGCTCTGGGCTTTTCCTCGCGCTTCCTGCAGTGACGAAACAGAAGAATTCCCGGGAGATTTCGCCGTCACATTCGTCAGATCCGGACTTGTGCATGCGACAGGAAATGTCAGGAAGGTGATGCATCTATGACCATATCATGAAACGCTAAAGATAGGAGCTTCAGTAGAACAGCCGTGTACTCTTGTTAGACTATATGTCAGTCAGACACACTGTCCTGTCCCCTCAGCGGCTTTACTGTGCTCACGGCGCTCTCTTCAACAGTACGCTACGCGAATATGTGGCGCACGCTCCATCACTTCAGCATTAATAACCCGCACAAGAAACTATATGAGCATACATACCTAGTTCTGTCGTCAGCTAAGTCACAAATGACCAAAAAGGCGGTTAAAGCTGCAAACTCTGCATGTATACGCAGCACACTCAAATGCATGTACTAAAATATATTCTGCAATTCGAGATCACAATGAGGCACAAGCTGATATGTATTTTTATTAGTAATTTAATGCACAAATAAATGTGAGCACAGTGCACTTGTACTAGAAAACATGCGGAAATTAAACCATTTAAATGCATAAAAGAACTCATTTTATATTCTGGCATTTATGTCTTCTGT